ATATATATTCAACATACATGATATAACATATAACTCATCAATCCCTGCCCAAAAGAGCTTGCACTCTAATGTTCTTAAACATACATACAAACACAAATATTAGGATCATTTTGAACTGAAACCAGTCAAAGAATATCTAAAACCTAACTTTTTTTGGATAGGGTAGGTAGCAGTAAATAACCCTATAATGTTTTACTTCCGTCTGTGTCAATTGGGAAGAGTAACCTTTACTTCTCCTGTAGACAAAAGAGGAAATAGGAGGAGATCTCTCCAAAATCAGAGAAATGCTCTTTTAGATAGTTGTCACAGGAACATGTATGCCTATTGGAAGATTTCCCTCTATTCCTGTTCTGGTAGCAACTCAAAATTTTGGATTTCCTCTCACCTGTCACTGGAACAGACAGAAATCTTCCAAGCAGGGACACAATCAGGAAGATAAAACCTGACAGGGGCTCTATCCCTACCTTACTCAATCTAATACAAAAACAAAACAAACTGTTTTGGGCTATAATACACTGTAACCTGCTAGTTTGCCTCTTTACTTCTAGAGAAAAATTTAGCACAAGGGGTAGACTCAGAGACACCTGGAGAATATACCGACTCCATGCAGGTAGAATCTTTGGTTTGATTCAAACCCAGAGATTTAAGGCAAAAGTGCAAAAGGCTTAATGTATAAATATGTTCTTACAAAGAAATGGAGTTTCTTCACATTAGCCACCCGATTCAAACCTGCTCAGAAAGTTGGAGTCTCATTGGTGAGCACATGAACTTAGTTAAAACACATTGATACATTAGGCACTAAAACACATTGATACATTAGGCACTAAGTGGCATTTCTTCTACACACAGGGAATGGATGAATCATGACTGAGTGGTAACCGATCTTGGGCATAGCACGTGGAGTAAAATGGAACACGGCACTCAGCTTACCCGCTCTCCATCTTCTCCTGGTGGTCCTGGAGGTCCAGATGGGCCTGATTCACCCTGTCAATAGTCAACAATCACATATATTACCCCTTGATTACCAATGTGATCAACTGGAAAAAGTTACAACCGGACTAAATTAAACTTACACGATGCCCCTTCTCTCCAGGTAAACCAGCCAGACCGTCAAATCCTCTGTCACCCTAGAGGATAAAGTATTTTGAGTTCACATTAAAAGGTAAGGACTTTTAAAGTCACTTTGTTAAATCCTTCATTTCTGATAAGCCTTACCTTGGTTCCAGTTTGTCCTGGCATCCCACGAGCACCATCACTGCCCGCCCGACCCTGAAAGGTGCAAAAATAGGGGGGTTAGTCTGGGAAGCAGCAGATAAATTGCCCTACTAAACATCAATTTAGTGAAAGATTGTCATCAGTCACCAAAACATACATTAAAACACAAGTAATAATATTACAGATATTTCTAATAATTGTATATATAATGAGACCTTATTGACAGATACATAGTACACGAAATCTTGAACATACACTGACACATTTATACTGCATGGACAACATTAGACACATTCCAACACACACAAGGTAGGTTGGCTGACTTTTAGCATCCTTTTGGCCACTGATGATTCTGCACACTTACCCGTCGTCCTGGCTTCCCTGAAGGACCTGGGGGACCTTGAGAACCACGAGGACCCTACAGAAATAAAGCAAATCAAATTACAATCAAACAGCACATGTATATATACAGGCCATAGCCTGTCAGACCTAACAACTAACAAATGTTTGTACAGTAGCTGCATTACCTTAAATCCCAACTTCAGACAAAACTAATCCTTTAGTATGGGTAGGATTGAATCACCTGCCTGCATCTTAGGCTACAGGCTGGATTTCCCAACCGTGGTTTGCGTCAATGTCCCTCCTGCAACGGTGAGATTTCCCTGCATTGTTTTGTGTCACAACTGCTCCCACAGTATGTGAATTTACCGATTAGGAGGGAAATGGAGATTCCAGAGAGAGACCCTATTGAAAAATACCCTGAGACGCAAGAAGCTGGAATGCAATTTAATGTACTAGAATCCATGCAAACCATTACGTTTTGGATGGAGTTAGCATTTATATTATAAAGGTTTGAATTTTGTATAAACATTTTTCTCAACAAAACCCCTGATAGTAAATAAGCTTCTCTGCATAATAAAGGGACTTAAGAAGGCAAATTCTCACCTGTGGTCCTAGGTCACCTGACTCCCCCTTTAATCCAGAAGGACCTGGAGATCCCTGAAATGACACAGCTGTAAGTCACAGAGTTACATGACCAAAATAAAAACACAAGGTCACATGCCTTGAATAATGGGTGTATGTTCTCACCATTGGTCCTGGTCTTCCTGTGAGGCCCATTGGACCAGAAGGTCCTCTCAGTGCCAGCTGTAACAGTAATAATATACAATTAAAAATGCACATAAATGCATATATTGGCTAGAAACACATCATACTCTTCCACTGATATTGCAGCATTCATAAAACTTCTGATACACCTAGGTAGAGATGTGTTTATCACATAAACCAATGTTCACAGATAAGCAGTCAACCAATTTCCAATGACCCATCCGCACAAGTGAAGACCATACCTTTGTGATACAGCACCTGGTGAAAGGACAGAATAAACACTGGATGGAATCAATGGATTTTCCTTTTCTATGATTTACTATGGTGATTTGCCCATCAAGCATCCTTTTTATGACTATAGCTGAACATAATAAAGTGTATCTAAAGCAAGCTTTAATTTTGGGTAGAGTTGAGTAGGATTCATTTTTTTATTGCTTTTGTGATCCTGCTGGGAAGACTCGCCTTCTCTGTATGTCCCATGGACCATTGTGAACAGAATAGAAAGTGAAGGGTAATATAGAACTGTTCAGTTGTCACCAGAGCAGAAGGTGAGGGGAAATCTTCCAATGGAGATACTTGTTGTGGTGACAACTGTCAAAGCGTGCATTTCCCCTCCTATTCAGTATATTTCCTCTCAGTACAGTCAAAAGTTTTCCATTTAAAAAAATCTGGGCTATAGAAAAAATGCAGCATTATGATAAAAATGAAACGTGTGCGTGTGTAATATATATATGTACACATATATATATATATATATATATATATATATATATATTGAACTGTGCAACAGTTTTAGGCAGGTGTGAAAAAATGGTGTAAAGTGAGAATGCTTTCAAAAATGTATACTTTTATTGTTTATTTTTTATTAATTTACAAAATGCAAAGTGAACAGAAGAAAAACCTAAATCAAATCTATATTTGGTGTGACTACCGTTTGGCTTCAAGCCAGCATCAATTCTAACACTTGCACAAAGTCAGGGATTTTGTAGGATTAGAGCCGGGTGTATGATTAACCAGTTAACCGGTTGTGGAAGATAGTTTCATGTCACAGGTCATACACCATGGCAAGAGCCACCAGACTGAGCACAGAAACAAGACACAAGAGAGTTATACTGCATCAGCAAAGTCTCTCCAAGGCAAACATTTCTAAACTGACTGGGGTTTCAAGATGTGCTGTTCAAGCTCTTTTGAAGAAGCACAAAGAAACGGGCAAGTGGTCCGCCAAGGAAACTCAATGCATCAAATGAAAGACACATCAAGCTTATTTTACTTCGACATCAGAAGATGTCCAGCAATGCCTTCAGCACTGAACTGTTGGAAACCAGTAAGACTCAGGTATACCCATCTAACGTCTAGAGAAATCTGGCAAGAAGTGGAAGAATTGGGGCCAAAAAGCCATACCTTCGACGTGGAAACAAGGCAAAGTGACTCAACTATGCACAAAAACATACGAACTGGGGTGCAGAAAAATGGCAGCAAGTGCTCTGGACTGATGAGTCAAATATTTGGCTGTAGCAGGAAGCAGTTTGTTCGCCGAGTGCTGGCAACAATGAAGCATGGTGGAGGTTCTTTGCAAGTCTGGGCTGCATTTCTGCAAATGGAGTTGGAGATTTGGTCAGGATCAATGGCGTCCTCAATGCTGAGAAATACAAGCAGATACCGTATATACTCGAGTATAAGCCGTCCCGAAAATCATGCCATACCATTAGGGAGGTATGTGATTGGCCCCAAATGTAATCTGCAGCAGGACAACGACCCCAAACATACAGCCAATGTCTTTAAGAACTATCTTCAGTGTAAAGAAGAACAGGGAGTCCTGGAGGTGATGGTTTGGCCTCCACGGAGCCCTGATCTCAACATCGAGTCTGTCTGGGATTACATGAAGAGATAGAAGGATTTGAGGCAGCCTACATCCACAGAAGATCTGTGATTAGTTCTCCAAGATGCCAAGTTCCATCAAAATCTGTGCGCAAGTGTACCTAGAAGAATTCATGCGGTTTTGAAGGCAAAGGGTGGTCACAACAAATATTGATTTGATTTGGATTTCTCTTCTGTTCATTTAGGTTCCATTTTGTTAACTGATAAAAATAAACTATTAACACCTTTATTTGTCAAAGCATTCTTACATGTGCATGTGATGTCTCTAAGCATCTACTAAAGCAAAGGAGGCCGCATCGCAGGGAGGCTGCAGTGTTTTTCTGTAGATGCTTTTTTCTTATCCTTGCCCAATAATCATGAACGAGTCTAGGAAGTGTGCTTATCTAAAGGGTCTCAAAATATAATTCTGTAATCAGAGAGCCTGTGTCCTGGCTTTACCGGGATATAGGAGGGCATTTGAACTGCTGGGTACTTTAAAGAAAACCTTCACTGAAAGAAATGAGAACTGCCAATGCTAATTGTTTGCCATTAATATACTCTGACTTTTGTTGCTGCATGATCTTTAAAGCATAAGTAAACATTTAATTTAAAATCGGCCAAATACATTTCAGGAGCAGCAAAACAAAAGGTGTGTAAAGTCTTACAGTTAGTTTTCATTAGAAAGCAGCCACAAGAGAGAATAGAAAAGTCTGTCACCAGCTAGCATGCTGTAAACAAATACTCTTGCTCTCAGTTGGAAATAGTGGAAGTAGTGGACTCTAGGCAGAGGTCTGACCCCTTACTATGCCAGACCTATAGCTCTGTATGTAGCTCACGCTCGCTGCTAATTAAAGAACTCAAGCTCTGACTTGGTGGTGGTGGTGGCGGAGGCGGGGGAGAGGGGGAGGGGTTGTATAGAACCTCTACAAAGAGACTACTGCTTCCACACAGAGAGGAATGTTCTTCTCTGCGGCATGCTGGCAGGTAAAAGGGGTTTTCTCAGGCTGTGTCTACATGAATACAAACTGTAGACTTTGAATAGTTTTGCATGCACAGGTGGGGGGATTTATCAAAACTGGAGCAGACAGAATTTGGAGCAGCTGTGCACTGCAATCAATCAGCATCTGTCTTCTTTAATTTTCAAATCTTAACTAAACAAATTGAAAAGAGAAGCTGATTGGTTGCCTTGGGCAACTGCTCCAGATTCTGTCTGCTCCAGTTTGATAAATTCTCCTCATAGTATTTAGCTGATTTAAACTGAAAGTTCAGTTGGGCTTTAAAAACTATTCTTGTAAAAAGAAAAGTTCTGTGTCTCTTTTTATCTCCTTTTTTGTGGGGTGGACACAATTTAAATATTTATGGTCTGTCCCTTTTTTGTTATTACCATTCATTCTGAAATGCTGGCAAAAGTGAAATGTAACTGACTCCATTTTACTATTTCTTCAAGGCTCTCCAATGTAAAACACACACAGGCCCTGTAGGTGGCTGTCAGCAAAGTATAGCTAATTTATTACCCTGGCTTGTTGTAGAATTGCCTGAGCCTGGGATTCCTGTGCAGATACTTGGGGTCCTTTGGAAGATCCATCTCCTCCTCCTGAGAAGCGGAACTACAAGAAAAGCAAAAAGAAACATGCCAAGATAAATCAACAAATGTCTTTGTCTGGTGCTAGAAGCTTCTACAAATAACACAACATGTGATAGTTATGGCACCCAGGTTACAAACCTTGTCAGGTTTATTGTGCTCTGTATACCCATTGGGCATTTACCCCTCAGTTCCTGTCGCTGTGACAACAGTAAGTGCTGAGCTTTAAACCTGAATTTTGCCCCAGTGACCAGTCTCACCTCTGGCTCTCCCTCTGCAACAGATCTCTGAACCGTTGGCTTCCTGGGCTCCATGTGTTACAAGGAAAATATATTAACATTATCAGTATATTTGCTTTTTATATGAGCTGTTACATGAGTGACAAAGTGTATCTAAAGTGTTTTAAGTGAAGGAGGTGAGGGGAAATCTTGCAAATGTGACAGTTGTCCATTTTGAAGTTCCTCTCTTTTTGCGGAGATTTCTTACTTCCTGTTGTGGCTATGGGACACCTAAATCATTTCTATACCCAAAGCTAAAACAAAACAAAAAAATACAAATTTGGCTATATACACACTTTGATACCCAAATCAATAACCAGCAGGTGGTAAATCCTATTTGTTTCACAGCAGACCTGAAGAAAGGGGAGGGAGCTAACTTGACATTGTGTATCAAATCTTAGAGCTAAAGCATGAATATTCCAGTGGGTACAGGTTTTCATAAAACAGACCAACACAAAGGACACATGAAAATATATAAAAAATATACATTTATAAACCATATATTTGTCTAATTTGAATACTAGGGACCCTTCCAACAGACTCTATGGCACCAACTTAAAACATTGTAGGTTAAAGCACAGAAAAATCAAGCTTTTTAAATGCTTACTTGCAGCATTCTACCTTTCCATGAACACTTTTTTATTCAGTTGAAATGTTCCTTTGAACTTACTAGGTATTTAAACCACTCCAGGAAGAGTTGATTAACTAGCACATTCACTGCTTCACTTCCCTCCTGCCATGTCGTAGCCCTCTTCTCTTCTGAGAGTCTATTTACAGTCTGTGCTGACCCAGCTCTTCCTTTACCTTCCTACATAAATATGATGTAGCTCCTGTTGTAGTGGTAAAGGGGAATACTAGAGAATGTTACTTAAGTGACAGTACTGTGTCTTCTGGATCTGCTGACATCACATCCAAGATGGTGGAGCTCACAAGGGAGGCCTTTACAGGTAAGTAGCATGCATAAAGTACATTAAATGCACATATAATCTTATTGGAAGATTGTTGTTGTTGAAATAGTCTGGCGACTATATGCTCCATTCACACTACGGTGTGCTTTGGTGCGTTTAGAAGTTAAAATTGATTCCGGGACACACCTGACTTCTATCTAAACGCGGCTAAACTGACAGCAGTTAAAAGCATCTAAATGCAAGGTGTGAATAGATCCATTGGAAATCATTAGATGCATATAAATGCATTTAGAAAACCATTTGAAACACCTATAAATGCACCTAATCGCACCCTAGTGTGAATGAAGCCTCAGGGTACACAGATAATTGTTATCCAGTGTGGCTCAATGCAGAAAAAGCTTCACCCTGGTATATACAGAGCCGCAGCCTATTCTGTCTCTCATAACTCCCACTGGGTATATCCTTTTATAACAAACAATCTGCATTTTATTCCATGTTGTGTAAACATCATTCTGCTAACTACAAACAAGTCAATGGAACGTTTTTTATGTGTCCTCGCGCAGCTTTCAGGCTGTATACAAACCGTTCACTTTTAAAATGGCTGCTAGATTTATTCTTGCTTAAAAGGCCCTATCAAGGGTGCATGAAATTGCCGCGTATTGAATAATAGATAAATCACATTCATATCAGAAGGATTACTGCAGCACCAGAGGCCTGTTCCCTCCGCACAGAACTCCTAATGAGAGCGCCTTAAAGGAAACCAGTACTGAGGGAATATAAAGGCTGCTATGGCTGCTGTCTCCTTCAGGAAATGCTAGTTAGCTGGCCATCATGCTAATGCACCTTCAATCATTTCTAAAGGAATGACCTGGAACAAACATGAAGATTAGGAGTCCTGACTATCTGACTTTCCATTCCACATATTTGTCCCAGGTCAGAGATAGCCAGGTAAGTTGCATTTTCAGAAGGTGGTCAGCAGGGACAGCATCCACATTTCTCTCAGTATGGGTTTCCTTTAACCATCTTTGCTAGGGACTAGATCTTGGCAAGGTAATGGAAAGCTATAGATTCTGATTCATAGCTCCCCCTTGTGGCTTGGCCAGTACATAAAGAGCACCAGTGCTGAGAGAAATATGGGGGCTCCCATGGCTAACTTCCTGGAAATGCCGGCTGCCTCGCTGTCTTTACTGGTTTAATGACTTCAATATTTGCTCTGTCACTGATCCAAATTAAGCATGTGGTCAGTAAAGGCAGCAACAGGTATCTTCTAGCTTATGACTATTAACTCAGGAAGTATTGAAGTATTGAGGCCACTACATCAAAATGATAGCCATGCGACTAGCAATTTCAGAAAGAGCTATTGGGCATGGAAGTCCCATATTCCCCTCAGCAGATATTTCCTTTAAAGCAGAACTCAACTAAGCACTTTGAACCAACAAAAAACATAAATCTATTTTTACTAAATTCAACCATTTTGGCCAATAACTGATGGCACCCTAATGCTGGCCACATAGCTGACAGTTTTGTGGCAATCTTAAACCGCTTCTAAATCACAAAAACAGGATTTATTGGTGACTGTTGTGGAAAGCATAGAATCCTGGTGCAGCTCAGTAAAATAAAGGACGAGGTAGGAAAAGCCACCATGGAAGCTGCAGAATGCTATGAAGTGCATGCATGGGGCTCTTAAAGATCCTTAGCACTCTTTATTACCTTTTAATCAACTAACACATCTGTTGTAGTGGATTTGGCAAGCATCCCCGGACAACCAAGTTCCCTGATGTGATCATTCACTCGGCATAAGCAGCAATTTATACAAAACAGGAAACCTTTCAGCTAAACTATTGCTGTGCCCCACCTCAACTGTTCAACCCAAAGATTTCAGAACTGACCCAGGGGCATACAAATAATGGGATCCCATAGCAAAATGTTATTGGGGTCCCCTGGCTAACTCCATCTGCAACAGCTGGTAGTGTCAACTGTAACAATATGTATGTCTAAATAACGTATGCCTAAATCAAAGACAGCAGGAGAGCTGAGAGTGTAGACTACTAGATGCCAGTGTTTTGGATAAAAGTTAAAGTTGTAGTAGCAATAATAATTAAAGTAATCATAATGATATTTTATAATAGGACAAAATATTAATGCTGTTGAAAACAATTACTTTATAACCCTAATACAAACATCATCTACCCTAGTAAAGGAGAAACTGTGGGATCTGTGACTGCATTAGGCATACAGGGTTAATAATAATAGAATTACCTCCTCCCACGCTCGCCTCCAGGACTCCAGTGTCCCCCATCCTCTGGAACTCCTTACCCTATTCTGTCCGCCTATCTCCTACGCTGTCCACCTTTAGGCGATCCTTAAAAACCCATCTTTTCAGGGCATCTTCCTCCAATAACTCAGTCCTACAAATTATTTCCTTTTGTATCACTTGCCGCTCCTACTAGATTGTAAGCTCTCACGAGCAGGGCCCTCCCAACCCTATCATTCTGAAACTGTATTGTACTGTAAATTGTATTGTAACTGTACTGTCTCCACTATTTTGTAAAGCGCTGAGCAAATTGTTGGCGCTATATAATTCCTGTATAATAATAATAATACAGGGTTAATTTCAGTCTGCAGCAAACATTTAGAGGGAAATAAATCTACGCTGTTAGTCAGATAAGGAAATGCTTCTTACTGCACATAGAGGGGACTGTGACTAGCAACAGATCCTGAGGTCTGAGGCTACGTTCACTCATTAGTAAAGACATACAGTACAGTACGAATACAGTACAATCTACCTGGTTCACACCTGCACGACATCCACGCAGTCTGAAAACGCACGTTGCACAAAAAAGTCCATGTGCGATATTCTGGGCTGATTCCACGCGTTCCAGCTATAGTATTAGCTGCAAACGTGCAGAATCTGTGCATATGGTAAAATTGGCGCGTTTTGGTGCCACTGAATTTACAACGCTATGTGTGAATGGAACCTAACTTTAGTCCTTCTATGCTGGCATCTTTACAGTTTATTGTTACTTACCACCTCCCCATTGACCCCCTCCTACCCCAGGACCCACATCAGACATATGGGTTACTATAGCAATTATACTCCCTGCACTGACCTCCGTACACAGTTAACAAGAACATGAATAATTATGCCAACATAATACTATTTGCCAATCTAATGCTAAAATGTAAAAAAAAAAAAAAAATCCTCCTAAAAAAAATAAAAAAACAGTTAAAATGTTTTTTTTTTGTTTTTTTTATCTTGCAGTACCCCGTTTATAGATTATTCAGAAGTGATGTGAAGATGAATGTATGAAGTCCAGTACAGGTTGCATGTTCTGCCCAGTGCTAATAAGCGAGCAAATTTAGGTTTTCAACACAAGCTTATTAAGTCTAGTCTGTGATCACAACGGCCAATCCGACCAGAAGGATTTTGTTCTTCAGTTTTGAGCTGTGTTCAAGTAGACACCAAATTGAACCTCTTATTGGGCTGAAGTAAAGTACTCTTTACATAGATAACTTACTCTTACAACTTTTTTCCTCACAGATTCTCAAATACAAAGACTGACCCTATATACTTACAGGCAGCATGAGCATGGTACCGGGAGGTCCTGGTAAACCGTCAGCTCCAGGAAGTCCTGGTCGGCCAGTTGGTCCCTGCAGGGTGAAAGGATAATTAGGTCACCAATAAATAAACAACTTGTTATAGCAACATAATATTAGATCACTTTTAATGACTCATGTCTTAACAATTCCCTTCATGTTTCCCCTTTACATTTCAGGAACTTTGCCAGAGAAGCACAAATGTCTGAATTCCCAGCTCAGCCATATCTTTCAGCCCCCCCTTAGTAATTATTATTTACATAAAGGAGAACAATGGGGTCAGGGATTTTCCCCATAGTTCTCCTAAGGGTAACAGGAGGACACAAACGAACGTCCTCCCATCACCCAAAGCTCAGTATACCGCCAGGTACAGCTCACGGTATACTGAGACGCCGCAGCCGGGACGGATCCCGACATTAATGTCTGGATCCACCCAGCTGCGTGAATGTACCCGCCCCCTCCCCCGTTCGTTCCGCCAGTCAGCGCTGGAGGATCGGAGCGGGGAGGGGGGGGAAATCCCTGCAGGGAGCCGTGAGTGACAGTCACGGCTGTCTGCAGGGACAGGTCCGAGAAGTGAGCGAGCGACGGTAGGTGTTCGCTCACTTCCCGATCTATTGAGCCGACCTGTGACAGTTTCATTGTCGCATGTCGGCTCGAACTATGAGGTTTAGTGATTTTTCACTCGCCTCATAGTTCTCCTTTAACATTGTAAAGAATGCAGCAGGAGTAGTGAGGCAAAGGATGATGCAAAAGCCAGTGGCTGATTAAACTAGATGTATCCATCCTTAACTACAATATAATTTTAGAGTGGACAGACATTTCAACTAATATCCTTGAACAAAATATATTCATCCTCTTTACTCCTCCATTGACTCTTTCTATGATTTCATTTCAAGCATTGCTGAAATTTGCTGACCATATTAATATTCAAGTTTCCTCATGAATCCATAAGTGCATTATTAGGCGGCATGCACGGGTGAGTAGTTTAACACACCCTAATGGCCTCCGTCATCTTAATAAAATAATGCCATATGATAATGGGAACATCTAAAATTAGCATGCAGAATGCAGAGCTTCAGTTGCTTTGTTCGTTTATCCATCCGGTTTTGTTTTGCAGATTAACCCGACGTGTCTCTGAAAATGCAGCAAATGACTCTGAATTTCATATGTCGGCCTCGCTGCACAGACTTCAGAAAAATAAGGTACTGCGGACCTGAAACGATCGTCACTCAGCAAACTGATATCAGTCTAAATATAGCAGAAAACACCTCTGGCCCAGAATTTGTGAACAGAACAAGACCAGAGTGCACTGAGCAATAAACTGAATTATTGAATTCTAATAAAGCTCAGTTACACTTACAGGAAGTGGTGAGAAGAGTATATACTGGTGGTAACACCAGCTCTCGCAGTGACTCTTAGCTTACTGTATGGCTATCTGCTCCACTCGTCTTGCAAGCCACCTCAGAATGGGGCTTCAGTTGAGGCAGTGGAGCAGAGGCACTGGAAGTTCCAGTAGCATGTCCTGTAACATCACAAAGTATGAAAAAAGCAGGACAGCTACATGTGCAGGTGTGAATCAATGGTCCTATGGCATGCACGGTTCAGCATTCATGTTTATGCTAGATGCTGCCAGTGCTGACTTATCAAAGGCGGATTAATAGATATTGACTGACCCACAGACACAAAACTACCCGATGTGACTGAACATTTGGCCTTGAACAGTTCACTTTGTGACAGAGGTTGTCACAATCTTAGGAGAAATGTTGATAAAAATATAGATTTTCAAAGCTATAGAGATTAGCAGCATCCATAAGGTAAAGGGTGAGGGATGGACTACTTCTGGCATTGCTGGCAGACTATAAAACAGGGGTAGCCAAACTCCGGTCCTCCAGCTGTGGTGATACTACAAATCCCATGATGTATCTCTCTCCGGGAGTCATGTCTGTGAGAATCTTGCAATGCCTCATGGGATTTGTAGTTCCACCACAGCTGTAGGGCCGGAGTTTGGTTACCCCTGCTATAAAAGAACAGCACCAGGTTTTCCAGTAACAGAGGATGAGAGACAAGGTGGCCATGATGGTTCAATACCTTTATCATCCTGATGGACAGTTCAAGCTGTGATCGTTTCAGCTATCATCACTATTAAAATCTGTTTACTCATGCCAGATATACCAATGAATAGACTGGACAGGGGCTCTACTGGAGGCCTTCTCACCCTCCAAGGACTAATAAATATACTAGAGCTGGATTCTGACCTATTCTTAATCCTGCCACATACAACAAAGGCCATGAGACAACCACTTTTATAAAATAGATTTCTGGATCAAATTTCAGAAATAAGGACATTGGGGGAATTTCTTTTATTATTGGATCAGCATTAATCAGCAGCAGTACAACTGTTAATGCACATCAGAAGATGCTGTATCTGCTGACAGAGTGAAAACAATCCCATAGTTAGGGAGTTTTCTGTAAATCAGTAAGAAATAAGTGTGACAATGAGTCTCTTCTGGGTTAAATGGAGCAACTTGGGGGCTTGGTGTACAAAGCACAGACTTGGCAAAAAGCATGGGGGGTGAGGGGGGGTGAAATCAGATTGCTCGGCCTCTATTTTGAGTGAATTTGATATTACAACAACAGTTTTTCTGTTGTAGCCAGGACAGCTGATTAAGAAATATCAATTATCAGATACAACCGATATGAACCCAAAAGCCTGGTAATGCTCTTTACACAAATCCAATGACCGTGCTGCGCATTGTGGCATTCTGTCACATGCTCTGGTTGCGGCCGAAAATGGCACTTTTGGCTGAATGCCGAAAGAGCCATGTTTCGGCCGATACATCGACGCATCCCTGGTTTCTTTTCGCCCCGCTGGGCGCTGTTCCAGCGGGGATAAAAGAAAGTGACAGCCGGCCGAGCGCTGCAGGATGAGAGCGCTGTGAGTGGCCGGCGTCTCTCCTCTCACACCGCTCAGCCACCTATCACAGTCCGGCAGATCGGTGTGGGGGCGGAGACAGCGCTGTCACAGGAGGCTGGGCTATCCTCTCTACACCGCTCGATCAGCCTCCTGTGACAGTGTGTCAGAGAGAAGAGCGGGAGCAAACACTCAGCGATCAGTGATCGCTGTGTGTGTGTACATAATTGAGAATATGGTATGTTAACTATATCCTCAATTATGAATGAATGGGAGTGATCTACATCACATCTACATCACCCCCATTCATTCATAATTGTGCTTATAGTAAACAAACAATATTCTCAAGTTATCAATGAACAGGAACACTCAAAGGATTCCTGGTCAATGATAACAGGGGACACAGAAAAAGAGATTGAGGACTTTGTGTTCTCAATCTCCTTTTCTATTTTAAAAGGGAAATGTCAGGGGTCTGTTTAGACCCCTAATATTTCCCTGAAGCCCCTAAAAGTAAAGTAAAAAATAAAAATATTTAATAAAAAAGGAATTAATAAATACAAAAAATACAAAAAAATGTAAAAGTGTATAAAAAATAAAATATTTTTAAAAATTGAAAAAATAAAAAACATTTTCGGTATCGGTTTCGGCCTGACATTTTTTTAAATTTCAGTTCGGTTCTAAAATTTCCATTTCGGTGCACCTCTAGTTGCAACCACTAGATGGTACTGTGTAATTTGGGAACCTCTGAATGGCCTTAACTTTGGTGCAATCCCGACCTGGCCATGTATGGTGCCCTGTGCAACTCTGATGCTCTTCTCCACAGTGCAAATACAAATCATGTCTCCTTAAACTGTTGCAACCAGCAATAAGTGATTCAAATCATCCACACTATTAGTAATTGCTCAGCAGCACACCTTCCAATATCTTTATAGCAGTCTGTTCGCGAATTTGAACTGTGGAAATTGTAGCAGATTATATAACCCAGCGGATTACCAGAGAGGCTGGATGATTATTTTATATCAGCTTGCTGATATTGACATTCAGAAAAACACTTTTGTGTCCAGACCTTCCAATAAACGAATGACTTGTATCAATTACACAAATAGGCTAGCAGCAGTGGTGAGACAGCTTTTACAAAGCAGAGAGGGCAAAGAGAAGAGGAAGAAGTAAGGGTATTTACTAAAAATAGATCCACTGTATAGAAAAGTGGCATCATTTGGACACTGGAGTCATCTGAAGCGTCAGAAAATCTCTCATCAGTTCACCGGATCAATGATGAAAATATTTCCCAGGAGCCACTAGAATTGTATTTTGGGAGCAGTGGAGGCCAGCATGCCTTTGAAGCCTAGCTACCAATTCTCTTTAGCAACTATGTATCCCAGTGTGTCTCATGACCAGAGTTACAAGTTCCACATCTGACCACATTCAGTTCACTATTATTATTTATCCTTCTTCAGTTAAGGTGGCCATACACTTTACAACCATCTCAAGACCTTAGTCTTGCGATGGTTGTAAAGTCATTTAAAATACGTACGATCTGCCCATCTTGGACAGGCAGATCGTACTTGCGATCATCGCAAGCCCGTCCCCCTGAGGGGCGGGCATCCGATGACCGCAATGCTGAACAGGCAGTGTGTGCGTGCACACAACGTCCCGTTCTGCATTTGTCTCCCGAGCATCATTCAAACCAGCCGAAAATCGTAAGATTTTCGGCTGCTTTTCTAGCATGCGCCTTAGACAAAAGACGTGCGACCGAACAGTAGAAACGGTTGCACGTCTTCATTCACACTGCACGATTCTCGTACGATCATGGGATGTCCCGCGATTCTCGTACGAGAATCGTGCAGTGTATGGGCACCTTTACCCAACCTGCCATCATCAGCCGCAGTCTGTCATCTCACCTGGGTGAATGACTGCTCCTCTGTATGAATAGGACTTGCTCATCGTCACTTCCCCTATTACCTTTAGACTGTAAGTTTCTATGGGCAATGCCTAACCATCCTCCCCCAGACACTGACCTGCCATTGACGTTGTGAACTTATGTGTACAGGAAGGGGTTATATAATTTTCAGGACTTCTGGTCTCATTCTCCCATCCCCCAGAGTCCCCCAGCTTTGACTAATAGAGAAGGAGAGCCGCCCTGTAAGCAACTCTCGATCCTAATAAAATCCAGATGGACAAGTAGATGATGTCATGTGTTTCTGCTAAGCACTGCTGGGAAAACTAACAAAGCTGTATGTCCGCCATCTCTCCTCACTGGATGGGGACATTGCCCGAGGAGCTAGAACAACAAGGCAGATTGTAAACCTGATACTGAGCAAGTTACATTGTATCCATGCAGTAGGTCACGACACACACATGTCCTACACAGAAATATGCCGGGGGGCAAAAGGAAGACCCTCTGTGCAGCCTGTAGCAATTAATCATCATTTTATCTAACATATGAAGGAAAGCGGAACCTCTTTCCTTCATGTAAAAAAATAATGACTGATAGCTGGGAAAGATTGCATAGCACATTTAATTTTCATCTGCTGTTTGGTGCCCCCATTTTCTCAAATGATGATTGGGATCAGACTCTTGACCCTAACTCAGCATTCCTGCCACCTGCACCTATTGTGGCAGGCACATTTTGTGTGTGTGTCGTGTGACAGTCAATTTCAAAACGTTTTTGCATGTAAATATGGAAAAATTCTGAACTGAATAAATATTCTATGGAAAAACAAGCCTGACCTTGAATTGCTTTCAAGAATGTTAAAACCTTCTAAATTTCCAGAAGGCACAAAGAGCTTCACTGTGAATGCAAAGTCCAGTTACCCATGACATCCAATCAAGTTTAGTAAAAATGACTTTGGTTGCCATGGTCACTGCAAATTGCACTTAATCCTTTGCTCCTTGAACTTTTTAAAGAATGAATCAGTTATACTGATATATTGTATAGGATAGAAAATCACAATTGTTTTTTGCGGGAGGGGGGTGGGGGGATTATTAATGTTTAGAATCCCCTGGCCCCTGTGAGAAGCTGCCCTCTTCAACTAGGCTAACCAGGCTCTGAGTGCAGTGGCAGCATATTGTGGTGGATAACCAGAAGTGTATGACTTAATGGTGATGTGCATGAAATATTTTACTGCACATAGTGATCAGTTAACCACCAGTTAGCTTTCTTTCCTGCTATAGGCTCCTTTGCTGACATTACTATTGGTTCTGCTGGCACACCCTCTATGTTGGGATATCTTTTAGAAACTTTGCATGTGACACTAAGAGGTGAAGCAGAGAACTCACTGCTGGCATTCCTGAGAAATATAAAAGCAATGGGTGGTTTAAACCCCATAGACCACCTAAAACTGAACTGCCATTTGTAAGTGGATTGACTTGCCAGATTGTGCCTTGTTACCTTTGGTTATGGCAATGAATAAGCTGCTGTGTTCCTGCTGCTAATTACACTTAAAGTGCAATACAAGGATGGTACATACCCTCTCACCAGGATCACCAGACGGGCCGGGGGGACCTGTGGTTCCAGGAGGACCAGAATATCCCTGCAGGAAAGCAAGAAAATAGATTATGGTGAGATTTAACAGAACAAAATCTCTGACACAGGATCAAAGGATCTCCATTCGTGACTGGCATTGTATTAAACATTCTACACACTGCAACATCATCAAAACGTACTAAAGGGACATATCTGCAGTCAGGTCCTCTCCATCAATAAATTAGATTAAACAGCTGGAAAATTGCTCTAAGTTGTACCTAGTTTTTAAAGCAATGGTTCTAGGTGGATGGCTAGATAAATAATTCTATATTTAGGATGTATTTGGGCCATGAACCAGAAGTTTTGGATGGACACATGATAATTGGATACATGATTTAAAGGAGAACTATGGGGTTAAGGCTTTTCCCCATAGTTCTCCTTAGGGTAACAGGAGGATACAAACTAGCGTCCTCCCATCACCCTAAGCTCAGTATACCGCGAGCTGCAGCTCACGGTATACTGAGACGCCACAGCCGGGACGGATCCCAACATTACTGTCTGGATCCTCCCCAGCTGCGTGAATGACAGCTGACTCTGCCTATCTAGAGGCAGAGGCAGCTGTACCTGCCCCTCCCCCGTCCGTTCCGCCAGCCAGCGCTGGAGGATCGGAGAGGGGAGGGGGGGTAATCCCTGCAGGGAGCCGTGAGTGACAGTCACGGCTCTCTGCAGGGACAGGTATACTGAGACGCCGCAGCTGAAGCGGATCCCGACAATTATGTCTGGATCCGCCCAGCTGCGTGAGTGACAGCTGGCTCTGCCTACCTAGAGGCAGAGCCAGCTGTACCCGCCCCCTCCCCTGTCTGTTCCGCCAGTCAGCGCTGGCGGATCAGAGCGGGGAGGGGGGAATCCAGCCCCTCCAGAGAGCTGTGACAGGATCAAGAGGTGAGCGAACGGCGGGATGTGTTCGCTCACCTCCCAATCTACTGAGCCGACCTGTGTCAGTCTCATTATCACAGGTCGGCTAGAACTATGAGGTGAGTGAAAAGCACTCACCTCATAGTTCTGCTTTAATATTTAGGCTGTACCTGAGCTAGAGATAATTTTTAAGGTAGTTGGATAGATAGCTCCATATTTATTCTGTATCTGAGCTATAAACCAGCAGTTCTGGAGGGACAGTTGGGGTAAATTGCTTTACATTCAGACCCCATTCACACATAGCGACATACCTTTTGCAGCGGATCCGCACGGCCGGGATAGCGCGACTTTCGGGGCGACGATCCAGCGACGGTAGCGCAACCTTCTCCGTTGGGCTCCATAGAAAAAGGGCAAAATCGCGCAAAATCAGCCGAAAAAAGGGTCCGGTAGAAGCGACTTGCGACCGCGACGAGCGACGCGCGACATGGAGTTAAGACAGCTCCATTGAATAGCATTGGCCGGCGACTTCTTGCGATATCGCGCGGCAAAAATGCGCGATATCGCTGCGGCAATCGCGCGATAATTCGCTACATGTGAACGGGGCCTTAAGCTGTGTCTGCTATAAACTAGGAGCTTTGTTGGCTGAGAAGTTGTATCTGATTTAAAAACCCGTGATTCTAGATAAGCAGTTGGACAAATGACACTGTGGGTGATTTATCAAAACTGGAGCAGACAAAATCTGGAGCAGCTGTGCATGACAACCAATCAGCTTCTCTGTTTCATTTTCAAATCTTAACTGAACAAACTGAAAAGAGAAGCCAATTGGTTGTCATGGGCAACTGCTCAAGTTTTGATAAATTCTCCTCTCTATATTTAGGGCGTATCTGGGCAATAAACCAATGGTCCTGAATGAACAGCTGGATTATTGTTTCTATAATTAGGCTATATATTTGCTATAAACCAGTAGTTCAGGATGAACGGTTGGATAAATGACCCCAAATTTAGGCTGTATCTGATCTCTAAACTTGGGAGAAAGTTGGTTGTATGGCTCTATATTATATCTGCATCTCTGCTATAGACCAACGGCTCTGGATAAATAAAACTATTTTTAGGCTGCATCTATGCAATTCACCAGTGTTTCTGAAAGGACAGTTGGATAAATGCTAAATAGTTAGGCTAGATCAGTTCTATGCACCAGTGGCTCTGGATGGACATATGAATAAATGTTTCTATATTAAAACTAAAGCATGTTTTATAAACTTTAAATATAACTATGGGGTAAGTGTTTTTCCCCATAGTTCTCTTACGGGTAACGGGAGGACATATACTAGCGTCCTCCCGTGACCCAAAGCTCAGTATTAAGAGAGCTACAGCTCGTGGTATACTGAGACCACTTCAGCCGGGATGGATCCCGACAATGCTGTCGAGATCTGCCCAGCTGCGTGAATGACAGCTGACTCTGCCTATCTAGAGGCAGAGCCAGCTGTACCTGCCCCCTCCTTGTCCGTTCTTTCAGTCAGCGCTGGACAATCGGAGGGGGGAATCCCTGCGGGGAGAGTGGAATCCCTGCGGGGAGCCGTGAATGACAGTCACGGCTCTCTGCACGGAGATGACCGAGAAGTGAGCGAGCGACGGTATGTGTTCACTCACTTCCCGCTCTATTGAGCCGATGTGTGACAGTTTCAATGTCACACGTCGGCTTGAACTATGAGGATGGGTGATTTTCACTCACCTCATAGTTCTCCTTTAACAGTTTGACGAATTTGCATTTGTGTCCTATCAGGAATAAACCTCCTGTGTTTTGGATGGAAGCCATGAGATGGAAATAATGTATGCATTAAGAAAGCAGTTGTGTTGTTTTATGTTTTAAACTATGTAAGAAGGAGAACATAGAAACTTACGGCTGGACCCTCTGGGCCGGGTGGGCCTTCAACCAGCATTCCCTGGAAAGACAAAACCAAGGCATACATGAAACAAACTCAATACAGGTGCACCATTACCCCCATCTGCCTCAGTGGTGACATCTTGAAGTAGTTTTCTATTACAAGCTCTACTGAGCCAAATCTCCGCTATTAGCATCTTTGGAACTGCTATGACAATATGCATTGTAATTATAAGTTTAGTCGATTCAAGAGTTGTACAAGGCGATGGGAAGCGCAGAAGAGACAATCGCTCTGCTCTGAACTTTTTATGTAAAGCAGATTATTTCCTGCAGTCTGTTGGAGAGAAACACGCGCAGATCTCAGTGTCCAGATTAGTATTCACATACACTGTTGCAACCTGTGTCTTCCCTGTTCCTCACACCGAAGACCAATCTGCTCTATGATATGCATACATAAGGTAAGACAGGCAAACATCCCTGTTTCTGTTAGGTAGAACAATCAGATGAAGATGCTTGCAGTAAGCACTGGACCCTCTCGAGTGGACACAATGTCCGATCACAGGAAGAACATCTGGTGCCCTGGCTAATATTTACTCTTCTCTTAGTGCTGTTTGGATTTTCAGACATCTGGGAAAACTATTGACATACAAACAGGAGCAGAATGTTTACGTTAATGGGGGGACGCCAACACTGATTTAACACCATCATTACCAAAGATCTGTGAATCCCCCTGCTTTGCTCCACAGTACTGTAGAACATTACAAGTGTTCCAGAGTGTTCTTTCATAAAGTTAGAGATGGGCCTTGGCTAGATGTGAAGTATCATCATTTTATGCATGTGTGATACCTACACTGACCAAAAGAGGGCACTGTTTGTGTGTGTAGCCCAGTCACTTCAAGCGAAAACCCAACAGGAAGAATTTGTGAGTTGTATATTGTACATATATCTCATGTCATTTATGTTATTGAGAATCTACAATTTCCCTACAAATACATGCTTTCAATATTTTCACTTGACACAATTAAAATAAATCAGAAGGAAAAGCCAACATTCAGTCTAAAGACAATGTTATTTGTACCAACAAAATAAATAGTGCAAGGTCATACCTCATTGGGTGTATATTTTATAGATTGTTAAGGTAGGCTCTCACAATACATACTTTGGTAAATCTAAAGGACATTGTGTGATCAAAATGTAATTTGTGCAGCAAGCTTTATGCACCTTGGCGGCGGACATGTGTTGCAGCGCAGAAAATGTAATATGCACCTTTCTTGGTTGATCTCTGTTTATTGAGAAAACTGCAACCAAATCTCAATATACAATCAGTTAAAAGATTGTATAGACTGTTTACTACAACCTGATATTGTTACATTAAGCTTAGCACATGGCAAAATTAAAGAGAAAAGCATACGCCGTGTTGCTTAACACACAATAATGTGTGTATGCAAACTGAATAGGCCCCTCAAGATTGTACCTTCATTGTGAAACATGTCTCCATGCAATTCATTTCAATTATTAAGCAATTTAAAATAAGAATAAGTAGGAGACTTACAGGTTCAATGATGGCAGGCTCCCCTTTCTGTCCCTTCTCACCCCGAGCACCTCCAGAAATCTGCAAAATACATTCTAGGATGATCAATGAATCTCAAGTAAAGAATGAAAAAACATGTTTGCGCTACTCATTACACTGGGAAGGGGGATAAGGGGTAGTATGTTCATTAAAATCTGAATGAAACACAAATCATAACAGAAGAGGCGCAATGACTTAAATGTTGGCAGGAGGTGGCAGGTCCAGCCATGCTGTGTTCCATCACGCAAACCATGATCCAGGATGGACTGCTATGATCACACAGCTCCATTGCTGGCCATAGAGAGGTGTCTGTCCCTGCCTTCCATTCAGGCCATAAGGTTGTTGAACCCCTTCTCTATTGCTTTGTAATAAATCTCAAGACCTGTCTTAATGTTAATAACTACAATTGATTCCCTGAATTTGGCAATGTTGCTTTTAGCATATCAAGACTTTCATCTGAAAAATATAATTTTAGAGTGCAGTTCACACAAGTGGAAGACTCAGGCCCTTCCGGAGGGCACTGTACGTGAGCCTGTCCCTTTCACATTTCTTCGCATCCTTCTGGCTCTGTCCTGATTATAGGCTAGCAGATTCAGACTATCACAATACAGACATGGGCCCTCTACGCCAACATTGGTAATTAATTAAAAAGTATGCCATACTATGTATATATCTGCCATAATATGATTCACAAAACCCAAAAGGTGTGAATACTTCTCTCTTGAATGAGGGTAGGCCACTATGAAATTATCTGTCTCACTGTTTTATATTAGGAAATGTCCCTAAACTTTTTCATTTTAAAATTAGGAAAAAGTTGGTACACGATTGTTTTATTATTTTGCATTTCTGCTCTGATTTCATCTAGTGCAATTCAACCTTCTAGCCTGCAGGTGTCGCTCATCACCTTTATTTATGTTAATACATCATAGGGATCAGTGATGTAATAGAAGATGCTACTTGTTTTAAAGTGATGATTCAGTGACTGAAAACATTTTCAGTGAAGGAAAAACTTGCAGTTACCTCATATTCTGGCACAATCACAGCTGATTCATTCAAATCCCCTATACCGTACTCCTCCTGGTCAGTAAAAGAGTCATCATAGGTGTCTATGGTCTCCTCGGCGAAATCACTATCGACATTTCCATCCTGTCTGGAGCTTCCTACACCACTCACCAATGTACCCTGAGATGAGAGAAGAGCCTCAGTTCACTCAAATTAACCAATTATTACTTCTTGTTTTATCTCATGAGAACTTACTCCCTAAAATGTTCAGTTCACAAAAACAAATATCATATACATGTGCTATTTTCTCACATAAGATGTGTATTTCACTTCTGAAAGCCTTAGAAAGGAAATGAGACGCATTTCCTGCTCTCCCCATTGAAACTCTGTTATTGCAAGCCTCAACTACCATTATTTTCAGGATCAAAACCCCCATGCACTAATCTATCAGAATTGACTAAAAGGTAAAAAAAAAAAAAAGGTGTGTGTGGTTAACTCTGATCTGTGAGATAATGATAATTGTTTATATGACCAGTGATTAAATCTAGCTATGGCAAATATGCTGAGTAGCTCATGAGATGCACAGAGACCACTTACGTTGTTGGTTGCGGTCACAGTGCTGGTGATGACCTCCGCAGTCCTGTCAATGGATTCTTCATCCACATTGGTCCTCTCCTCTTTTTCATCCACCTCAGAGTAGTTGGTGTCTTCGTAGGGTTGTGGTGAGTAATAATCTTCATGTACACCATAGTTATAGTCATATGTTGTTGGGCCTGGGTTGCCTTCACTTTCTTCAATCTTGACTCTTGCTGCTTCAGTAGTTACAGCCGGAGCTTCTGTGGGTACTGTGGTATCCTAAAGGAAAAGAACCATCATACCATTACATATTCTTCTACAACCCCAATTCCAAATAAATTGTAAAAACAAATGAAAATCTCATAAATCCATATTTTATTCACAATAGAAAATATATCCAATGTTTAAACTGAGAAATTGTACCATTTTAGGAAAAGATATGGTAATTTCGAAATTGATGGCAACAACAAACAGTTGTCTCAAAAAAGTTGGAGCAGGGCCATGTTGGGAACTGAGGAGACCAGTTACTGGATTAGGTGAGAGGAATGTTGTCCCATTCTTGCCTGATATAGGATTCTAACTGCTCAACAGTCCTGGGTCATATTTTTCATTTCAAGATGCGGCAAATATTTTCAGTTGGTAAATTGTCTGGCCTGCAGGCAGCCTAGGTAAGCACCCTGAACTCTTCTACTATGAATCCATGCTGTTGTCATAGATGGAGTATGCAGATTAGCATTGTGCTGCTGAAATATGCAAGGCCTTCCCTGAAAAAGATGTAGTCTGGATGGAAGCATATGCTGCTCTAAAACCTGGATATATCTTTTAGCACTGATGGTGCCTTTCCTGTGCAAGCTGCCTATTCCATACACACTAATGTACCCCCTTGCCATCAGAGATGTAGGCCTTTGAACTCAGCGCTGATAACAAGCTGGAAGGTCCCTCTCCTCTTTAGTCCGGAGGACGCGGCACCCATGGTTGCCGAAAAGAATGTAAAATTTTCATTCGTCTAACCACAGAACAGTTTTCCACTTTGCAACAAACCATTTTAAATGAGCTTTGGCCCAGAGAAGACGGTGGCATTACTGGATCATGTTCAGATATTTCTTCTTATTTGCATGATGGAGCTTTAACTTGCATTTTTGGATGGCATGGCGAACTGTGTTAACAGACAGTGATTTTTGGAAATATTCCTGGGCCCATGCAGTGATGTCCATCACAGAATCATGCCTGTTTCTAGTGCAGTGTCGCCTGAGGGCCCGAAGATCACGGGCACCCAATATTGCATTTCGGAATCTTTTCATGATATTATCAGTACTGTAGATGATCATATGATTTACATTGAGGAACATTATTCTGAAATTGTTCCACAATTTTTAGACACAGCTTTTCACAGATTGGTGAACCTCTACCTATCTTTACTTTTGAGGCACTCTGGCTCTCTTAAGATGCCCTTTTTTTACCCAATCATGCTACTGACCTGTTGCCAATTAAATAAATTAGTTGCAAAATGTTTTTCCAGCTCTTCCTTATTAGTACCACTTACTTTGTCAGCTTTTTGTTGCCCTGTCCCAACTTTTTTTTAGACATGTTGCTGCCATCAATTTAAAAATGACCTTATTTTTTCTTAAAATTGTAAATTTTCTCAGTTTAAACATTTGATATGTTTACTATTTTCTACTGTGAATAAAATATACCTTTATGAGATTTTCAAATCATTGCATTTTGTTTTTACGTAGAGTTTACACAGCGTCCTAATTGAGGTTGTACTATCAAACTCTCTTCTCTTGAAATACTCTGCACTGCTGTAAAACTCTGTTTCTTCTGCTATTTTATTTTCCTCTCATGATATAGTCTCTGCAGAAAGGGAACTCTGCCCCATCCACTATATAACTTTCCTGGAATACTCTGTACTTCTAGGTGACTCTACTGCATCCACTATCTAACTCTCCTTTCCTGAAATACTCTGTGCTTCTGGGGGTTTCCTCTACTTCTGCTATCTAATTCTCCTCTCCTGAAACACTCTGTATTGATGCAGGATTCATCTACTTTGAATATCTAACTCTCCTCTCCTGAAATAGATTGGAAGTTTTTTAAAGACAAGTATTTTCATCTAACTCTAAGATTTTCAAATTACAGTCACATGGACAAAAATAAAGACACGTATCCTTGTGTAAAACTTCATAAACTGAGCCTTGTATCTGCATGAGGGGCTGACATGCAATTTGGCAATTGGCTACAAGTTGTTCTAACCCTTCCCAATCCAATTTCAGCATGTCCACAGATAACCGGCTTTGAAACATGAAGACGTTATGTACTGTGCTCTTGTAAATGTAACCCTTATTTACAGCGTTTTAGCCCCTGTTCTGTTGACATGATGTTGTCTCTGTAGTTTGACTACCAATACTTATATGACCGCATCAAAGCCAATGTTAATATTGCTTAGGATAACTGCTTTTTTTTTTTTGTAACTGCAGGGATGTTTTTCAGTTTATAATTTTCGACTTTGTTGAACACTCAGGAGAGCTCGGAAATTCTGCAGACAAATCTAATCTAGTAAACTCTATATATGTTCACAAAACCTGACTGTTATAGTGTGCTTTCAGTATGACTCTGCATAAATAGCTTTGAGTTAAACTTTGATAGTTGCATTAAATAGAGCAATCTAAGGAAACTGCAAAATGTAGAGTTAGATGTGACAACGGTGTGTGTAGGGGGAGGAAGCAGGTGTTTCACATACCTCTTCAAAGTCTGGCTGCGGTCGTATGGCCTCCTCACCGGTGGCTGGTGTGGGCTTTACAGTTGGGGCTTTATCATTTTCCTCTTCATAGTATGGATATTCATAGTAATACCCTTCATCTCCTTCTGCGGCCTCAGGGTATTGCTAAATATGACAAAAAGAGTGTCTAAAAACAAGCGGTACCAACTCCAAAATGCCTGTGCCACCTGCTGTACACTTTGATCAACCTGCCCAAAACCTTTCAACCCAATAGCGTTATCCATGGACTCCAGAACCCCACATCATGAGCTGTAAATCCTACTTTATCCACCAAAACACTACTATCCCAACCAACATTAATAGACCATGCAACCATTTTAGTTTATACAACCCTATAGCTTTGGCTTTAAAACCTATTCTAAATTCCATAGGCACTGTAATCCTAAACTACACACCACAGGCCTCAATACTTGCACCATCATCCTTAGATCCTACTGCATGTCATAGACCCTACCCTTCTCACGGCCCAGGCCCTCCTAACCATCTTGTCTTGAATTGTATTGCAACTGTAATGTTTTCATTTTACTGTAAAGTGCTGCACAGACTGTTGGTGCTATATAAATCCTGCAGAATAATAATAATTACAAAAAAAGCCATATACCTTAAGCCTTACATCATGTGTAACAGACACTACAAAATGACATAGTAAGCCGTACAACTTAAACTTAATGCCATGGGCCCTACATCCCTATAGCAGCAGCCACAAAACCTACCACAGTACCAATATTCATTTACCATTGGCTAAAGGCTCTATGACACATGCAATAGGTACCGAATACCCTTTGCCTTTACCCATATACCTCATAACTCTAAAGAGTTGATTTGCAAAAGGAGTTACCAATGTAGATGTTGCAAAGTAATGTTCAAGAAGGCTATCAAACAACCCTTTACATGACTTCTTCTCTACTCCTTTCAGTATTTAACCCTTCTATCTTTAGGCACAGATCCTACAAACGTATTACATCACGGACCCCACAAGACTAATGAATGCAAAATTCTGGACAACAATAACATCTGTGTTCTGGACTTTAAAGTAATTAAAACTCAAAAGGATGTTACACACTGGTGCTAAATGTTTCCATGTCCCATGCCCAAAATAGGATCTAAATATAAAACCCTCAAACAAACCCCACTCCCCATACCTTTCATTCTGCCTTATCCCTAAATCTCACCCTGGTACTTACATACTCATCCTGATTTGGGTCCTGAGACTGGGGGGTGTCAGGGACAGCCGTGTCACAGTCGGGACTGTAGTGTTCACAATAATCGAAGGCAGCTCGATGGTCTGGGACGATGAGGAGTTGCTGAATGTCCCCCTGAAATGATAAAAAAGACAAAATGGGTGAGATGAAGAGTTCCATCATACAAGAAAATGGAGGGCACTTACAAGGATCTTCGCTCACCTCATCCTCTAAATTATCTTTTTTTCCTAGCACATCATATACAGTAACTAATTACCAGTACAGAATTCTAACATTCTGAATTGAACAGATAATGTTTGTTAACATATTAAAATACTGCATATCAGTTCCCCTATAAAGGCATATGGATGTCTTCAGAGAGGGCTGTGTCCTCTCAACAATTCCAGCATGATGCACAAGGCATATGGGCCAGCATGCATGTAGCAAAAGGATGTAAGTGTGGGGCTCTTTGTGAATTGAGCGATACTTCATATTCTCATCCCAGACTGTACACCTTGTAGTAATTGGTAGGTGATTAAAAAGGGAGACATAAAAAAGGGGGTCCTTCTCTGGAAACATGAGCCTAGTGCTGGCAGGCAGTTGGCTCTTTCACAACAATAAGCCCCAAAAAACAAGTGCTGGAAAGAGAGACTTTACAAGCAACTTTTCTACATGGTGAGGAAAAATAGGTTGCTATACCTGCCCCTGGTGATTTCTTTGACTAATGCACACTGAACCATAAAAGTTAAAAGCTAATAAAGTTACAGATTCAAATAAATTCCTTAACCTTTTACTTTTGCAATAAAAATGTCCTCCTCATTATAGACAGTAAAGTCTAAATATGTGGTTAGCTAGTGATGGCATGAGAACTAGGTTAATACCCTTTAGAGAAAGGCAGTATCTGATTTTTTGTTTAAAGAAAATATTTCAGCATAAAAAAATTAAAGTTAAAAAAGAAAACAGTGGACAAATACTAGCCAGCTAACATTGCCAGCTGATTTGTGGGAGCAGATTAGGAAAACCATGTGACTGCATTTTTCTGAAGTACAACATGGCTGTCCAGTTCAGGTTTAGGCAATAATTCATTTAATTCTCTAAGCATTCTGATTGCCTTTGCCCTAAAGTCCTGGCTGAATGTGGCCCTCAAGGGCTACAGTTGAACATCTCTCTTTAGGTCAGACACATGTATTAACTGATGGCTCCTTCCCTCCATTACTGCCACACACAAGGAGAGAAGAGCATCGAGGATGAAGCCAGCAGTGAAAACAGAGGGGAGCAGTTTTTCCAAGCTCCTGTGAGCTCTCCAAAATGTTGATTAAACAAATTTGGTCCAGAGTGAGCTCTCAATTAGGCAGCGTGCCCAGGACTGAGTCACAGCTTGAGTGACACACAACAGCAGAATTATTTTCACAAGGAATTTGGATTTCCAGCAATGTGTCAGAGCCAGCACAACTGTCCCAGAAAGCTGGCCAGCTGGGACACAGGCTGTACCATTTCCAGACAATGACGGGGGGAGGAATTAATGTGTCACCCACACACAACGTGTAGACTTACCCTTCACTTGGAACTTGTTCTATTGCTATACATCCTATGGTGCAGCCATTATAGATATCCTGAGGTGTGCCAAAAAGACTGTAAACATCAGCACAGCTACCTGTGCAGAGTCAATGCACAGGTTACCACTGATGACCTTCGCCTAGAGATCCTAATTCCCTGACTGTCATGCTGACCCTCTGTTTCCAGTATGTGCTCAGTCAAAGACCCAACCAAAATGGCAGCTAAAGTCTTCCATGACAGGTTTCCAAGGGGCCGCCATATTTGCCAATCAAATTTAGTTTAATGTTACAAAGACCAAAAACTGCTTTTTACTGTTTTATGTTGGATACTGGAGAGTTAATCCTGCTCCTTTCTTCTGTGACCTGGAGATACCTCCTTTTAGAATTTAAATATCAGGGGCACTCTAATGCAGAAACAACTTGGTTAAGTTACATTGCGTTAACTTTTGGACATGGCCTAAAGGGCTTTGCCCCAGTTTCAGTGTGAAATGCCCTAGTGTCAGGGAGAAGGCAAAATACCCCTGTGCCAGTCTGAAGGGGAAAGCCCCAGCAGCAGTAAGAGACAAAAATGCCTTGTCACCAGTGGGAGGCAGAAATGCCCTAGTGTCTGGGAGAAGGCAAAATACCCCTGTGTCAGTCTAAAGGGGGAAAGCCCCTGCAGCAGTAGGAGACAAAAATGCCTTGTCACCAGTGGGAGGCAGAAATGCCCTAGTGCCAGTGAGAAGGCAAAATACCCCTGTGCCAGTCTGAAGGGGAAAGCCCCAGCAGCAGTAGGAGACAAAAATGCCTGGTCACCAGTGTGAGGCAGAAATGCCCTAGTGCCAGTGTGAGGGTCAAATCTCGGGACAATCCCATCGAAGTCATTATGCGTCAGTATGCTGTGGCCATTATGAGTGGGCCCCACCATTTTTTTTATTTATTTTGTATTATGAAGAATATAACAGGAGGAGCTGGAACAAACAAATGAGGGCAAGTACAACCAAAATTCCTGGGTGGACAGAAACAGTCAGGAATTATAGAATTGAAATCTCATTGTTGCCAGGTTCTGCCTACCAGGCTCTACCTGCAACTAAAATACTGACCCTTTAAAAACATTTGAAGATGAACTCTCCCCAAACACACATTAATGCAGCTCTGTATTCAATAAAGCACCATCAAAAGTATTTTCTGAAGGCAATCAATGTGGGTATCTGAATTTGACTTGGTATCAGCCTCTTGTAGTCCATTATATATAATTTTGGGAGAGGGAGAAGCAGCACACAGAGCCAGGCAGATGTGCTGCAGTGTTCAGGTGCTAACAAGGGACATACCAATAGAAGAAGAGAGCAGAGTGAGAGATGAGCTCAACATTGCACTTCTCCTTTCACTGTCCAGTCACAGGTAGGGGAAGGGGCAATACCTGTTAGTGTTACTTAAATACAGCAGTAAAAAAGCAGGTCCTGCCTTGTGAGACAGGACTGTGCTGTGTAAATCTCAGGACTAGATGGACAGAAATACAAATCTTTTGGCAGGGAAATCAGATCCCATTTATGTATTTCACCTATTTGTTTAGTCCTGCTTTAAAAAAGAGTTATCTTTGCATCTCAGATCTGCCAAGGTAGCTTTAGTATGTGGGGGCCCTCATAGTAATTTTACCCCAGAATTGGCTACTATTGACATGTGGTCTGAATCCTTGCAGTCAGTTTCTGTGAACCTGAACTTAAAAATGTTGTTGACAGCGACAGGTTACAATGGCTTGTTAATACAAATTTAGAGCAAACAAGCTTTAAACGCATCTGTGACTTCAATCTGCATGCAACTCCCTCCCTGTGCAGCTGCAAGAACATTAAATATCTCAAATGTGCATGTCACAGGTATGTGAAGAGCCAGATAAGGGCTACTGAGAACATACCTCAAATAGCTGGTTAAATGTACTTTTTCTGAAAGGAAAGTTTGTGG